CCCACGGCAGAGGCAGCCCGCAGCGGGAGCTCGCTTCATCCACAGCGGCAAGGAAAAAACCCCAACCGTCCTTTTTTTTCCCTTTGAAAATGAGCTGAGCGGAAGGCAGGGGCTGTGAAGCGCTCGCAGGTTCCAGGTCTGGCTGAATACCCATACCTATGTTTTAGGTCATCTGGGTGCTTTTTAGCCTCCCCATCCCCCACGTATGTCTTCCTGCACCCAGCAGCGCTTAGCATTCTGCTCTCAATGTACACAATATGCTATTTCCTCATATAGTTGCTAAGCGCGCTGGAAAAAAACCTGCACGCTAATAAGCCAGCTTTTTTTTCTTAACTGTTTCTTTAAAGAAATGGACCTTCTGTATTACCAAAAAAAAAAAAAAATGCTTATATGCTTACTTATAAAACTATGAGGTTCTTCAAATCAATTTTCTCCATAAACAGAGAAAAGAGGAGGGTAGATGGTTTTCCGGGCAAAGTCCGGAAGAAAGGCTGCTATTACCCTTGGTTAGACGAGCTGCTCTCTCCACTTCTCATAAAGCAGTTGAATATAGGGTACAAGGGGCCGAAGTCCTCTCTCAGGGGAGTGAGAAATACTTCCAGACGACCAGGAAGAATAAAGACTGATGTAGGGCAGACAAGGCCCAGCGTGGCCCAGTGTTTCGGAGGCCAACAGCCCCCACAGCGGAGGGGGTAACGGAGAAAAGCGTAAAATTCTGTTGCAAAAAGGGTATCTTGCAGAACTGATAAAATGAAAAAAATGCCCCCTCCCAGGTTATTTGGGATTTTTAGCTTTTTATGCTGTTAGGAAAACCTGCACCCTTCCCAGCAGCGCCTTCCAGAGCCCTCCACTAGCCCAAACACATTAACACAAAATTGAAACGACCTCGAACAGTCTAGAAGGAAAGCAGCAAAAGACTGGTTCTCAAAACGAAGCTTTTGCATGGATTAGGTGCTTTCTAGCACGGAGTTTTCCCCCTATAGTAATCCTGGCTAAATCACTGCTTATCTTGGGAATTGGGTACGTTGGTGATTCTGCTGTTGGGAATAGAATACACCTACACACATATTTCCTCAAAAGAATCTGGTGCAGCCCATCAGAAGAGAGACACAACGAAATAATAAAAGAACAGAAAATGGTGGGGGGGTGTAGAAACATAATTTCTAGATAACTGCTAAGGAAACATCTGCACTCCACATGCTTTTACAGTCATAAAAGTATCAGGCATCCATGTCAGGAGCCCCCTGCAAAATGTAAGAAGACATTGCAATAATACAATCACCGTTGGTAAACTCCTTCAATGTTTTATAAGATCTGCTTGCTCTTACCTGTAAGTTGTGTCAAAATCAACCATTCACATTGGAGCCATTCGTTTCCCATATGTAAAATGTGGGCGACACCTCTTCCATCTGGCGGGGAAGCGATGCAGATAACTGTATTAGTCTGTCTGAAGCGGATCTTGTAAGCCTCCTGGTAATGGGAGGAGGAAATTAACTGTTTCTGAGACTGAAACAGTACACCAGGGCCAAGGCTGGAATAAACAGTAAGAGTAAAGTGAGATGTGGAGTGTGGTGAAGAGTGGAGGCAGGGCTCTGGTTAAAAAAAACCCATGCAATCTTTTTTTGAAGGCTATGTCGTAATGGATAGGTAGAAGAGGTACCAGCCGAGTTCTGACTTCTGAGTACTTGACTTTGGAAGTAAAACATTCTGTACGGGGAGGAGGAGATCAGCAGGGTATCTGTACATAATGCAGAGACTGGAGGGTGATTGTGGAGTACTTGACACGACCTTGTCATTAAAGACTGACCGGACTTCTGAGGTCTTACTGGAGAAGCCGCGAGAGGGACGCTCTGGGCCACAGACGGCGGAGCCGCCAACAGGAACGGACGCTGGCTGCCATTGGGGCCGGTTAACCGGGACTAAACTCCAAAA